TTCTAGCTGTATCTTTTTTTTTTTTTTTTTTTTGGAGATAGGTTCTTGATCTGTCAACTGGGCTAGAGTGCAGTGGTCTTATCACAGCTCACTGCAACCTCAAACTCCTGGGCTCAAGTGATCCTCCTCCCTCACCCTCCCAAGTAGCTGGAACTACAGGCATGCGTCACTGTGGCAGATTAATTTTTCTATTTTTTTCAGTAGAGATAGGGTCTCCCTCTTGCTCAGGCTGGTCTCAAACTCCTGAGCTCAAGCAATTCTCCAGCCTTGGCCTCCCGGAGTGCTGGGATTACAGTGTGAGCCATCACGCCCAGCCTGGCTGTATCTTCTATCATTTTCCCACTCTAAATCTTACCCCCAAAACTTTATGTTACTGGTACCCATCTCCCTCTTGTTTGGTGATCCTGGTCTCTGTGAGGCCTTGAAGGTAACTTAAGGGAAACTAAAAGGAACTTAAGAAGTTTTATTTTCTTGCAGAGCTAGATAACAACAAAAGAGCAGACACTCAAGCCCAGCTGAAGGAAAGAAACTTTCCCAAAGAGTTTACAGATGATCGTGTTATCTCCAATTCCCTCCCAACCCATGCTCTTCCTGTCAACAACACATCTCACACCCAATGAGAGGGTTGGCGCCATTATTAAGAGAGGCAAAGGATGGAGACTTTGATATTCATTTTTTGTGCTACCCCTGGCATCCTCATTGTCCTCTTAGGGGCTGGCCTCTAGAGACCCAGCACTCTACCTCTCGGTACTCTTGACACCGGGAGCCAAGTATGTCTCTGTCCTTCCCCAACAGGCAATATCCATACATCTTTGGATGTAGAAAGAGCACGCCCAGGTTATCTAAATCCTACCCAGCATGTGTGGGCAAGGAGCCACCGTCTTGCTGTGCCCTAATCACGTACAAAGTCAGGAAGGCTCGCCAACGTCTTCCAGGGAGCTGTCTGTGAGATGAAGAAAACCCAGGATGTGAGACAAGTTATTCTCCATCACGGGTGCTCTTTACTGAGTCTTTTAAGAAAAAGAAATGTGACATTAGGAAAGGTGTTATTTATGATGAAAGCTTATACTCAGAGACTATAAAAAGGCAGAGGAAGCCCCGGGCAGGGCTGGTTTTAAAGTCGGTGTCCCACGAGCTGGGTGCCCAGGGCAGGGCGGCTCCCTCTCTTTGTGTCTTTGTGCCAGGCTTTGCCCACTCTTGGCGGTTCTTCCAATAAGCTCTGCTTTTTATATATTGCCAGGGCTCCACATCTGTGATGCTCTCTACAGAGGGTGACCTTCTCCGTCTGGCCAAATCCTACACCCCCTGAAGACTCAGCTCTCTTGGGAAGGCTTCTCTGATACCCCAGACTCAGATAGACATCCCTGGTCTTTTCTCTGCTGTGCCCAGCGAGTGGGCACCTATCAACTCTTATCAGGCAGGTCATCATCCTTGTGCCCTAATGGAGGGATGGGGAGGAGAGAGAGAGAAAGAGAGAGACAGAGAACAGAAGGGAAAGAAGAAATGAAAGGGAGGGAGGAAAATGTAAAGGAAGGGAGAGAGAAAAGAAGGAAGGGCATGCTGAACACACACACATGTTGTTTCTAAATAGGTTTAATTTTGCAGTTCAGTTCTAAAGAAGGTAATAATTCCACCCTATGTCTCCAATAATGACAACGCGACCAGGTGAGTAGCCCTTGGGGACTGTTAATGGACAGACAGATCTAGCAAATCAGTATCCTTCACCCACGGTTCACCGAGATAAGCAGCAATAGACTCCTATTCTACCCCTATTGCTTCCTCTATGAAAACATAACCTTTCATTAAGATCACAACGTAACTTTAGCTAAACACTAATTGTTGTCTTTGTTTAACTAACAACCGTTAAGGAAACATACAATTTAGAATTAGAACTGAGCAAGGTAAGTATTGTTTTGATTTTCAAGACGGTGAAAAGGCAGAGCATTTTGACTTGGTAGGATTCACTGCTGGCTTCTAGAATACTCCCCAGGGCTGCTCAGTTCTACTCGCACAGCTGACGACCTCTGCTCCCAGGAGCACTCACCATTGCTCACCCAACCACCAGGACATCAGAAGTGAGGGGGCTGAGACCCTGAACCTGAGACCTGGCATCTCAGGCACACAAGGGGAGCCTGGGGTACATGTTGTATCATTACCCAAACTTCTGACCTGTTGACCCTGCTTTCTGCTTTAGGTCTCTCAATTAGTAACTCCGGTTTCCTAGACTAGCATCTACCCTAGAACCTTTGTGGTTGGGACTCTAATAATTTGCCTGACTCTTACAACCTCCCCAATCCGGCAGCTTACTTCAGTTTCCCAAACCCACAGCCACCTGTTGAGGTCCCACTTTCAGGAGACTTCCCACTCAGGACCCTGAGAATGCTGCTTGCACGGAATGGAAAACCATTCTCCCTCAGCTCAAGTTACTCTGATCCACCCAAATAACTTGAACTGCCTTAAATGTGGGTTCCAGCTCAAAGCAAGCCTAAATTCCCCATGCCCCTTCAGGCACTACATGCATTAGACTGGCTGTCTATCAATTCAGAGGCCAGTCCCCTAGTTGAATTGGCCCTTGGATCATTGCTGTATCCTGGTCCTATATTCCTCAGTGTCCCTACCTACTCAAGCCTTTGAGGTTTTATCCTGAAGCACAGCCAAGCTCACCTAACCTATGAAAATATCTTGGAAAATGATGCAACAGGTTATTAGGTGGATGGTTGATCAATGTTTATAAAATAATATATTCATTACCTAACGCAACTCAGATTTACTAAGAGTATGTCATGTCAACTTAATTCTACCTTGATGTTTTTATGGATAAAATTGTGAAATATGCATAAGATGAATTCCCTTTGGTGGAGTCAAAGCTGATTGAATAATCAGAAGTCATTTCCAGAAAGCACCGGTTGACTGTTCGGGGCTGACATGGAAGAAGTCCCTGGTGAAGATCATGATGCTTAACCCAGGCCCAGGCCTGGTGACAGTTATACCCACAGCCTGGGTAAGATGCTAACACTTTATATGCCCTGACATAGGTAAGATATTAATATCACTAGATGCTAGGATGTACTGAATTTAGGAGGGGAGAGTATACTGTCTTCACCATGGTGATGTCCCCCTGGGTTCAGAAATGAAATCCAAAAAAGTAAGGAGTTCTGAAGGTCCTTGCACAGTTAAAAAATATGAAATAAAATTAAAATTGAGTGAGGCAGAAAGCTGTCAAGAGCAAGAGAAAGTAACTGAGAACTTAGTAAGATCTGAGGACATTGGTCATTTCTTCTTATGATTTTTAAAATATATATTGTTTGTTTCACCTCGTGATTGGCATTAGTATGCTCAATATGAAAATATATTAAAATCACCTTGTACAATTCCTGGTCTGGTGAATGAAGGATAAATGCCTAAGTGTGCACACATGCTGTGCTGAGATTGAAATTCACCTCTGATTTTCATTCCAGAGCCCCCCAGGTTCCCAGAGCCTTTTGCTTTTGATTCACCTAGAGCCTTTTGCATTGTGCTTGTAGCACTCAGCACAATCCTGCTTTAAAAGCACCTGCAGGGTGAGCTTTGCTTCCTGGCTTTGCTAATTCCTTCCGGAGCCCACCAGGCACTCTTGGTTTGCGTTCTGTCAAAGGCAGAGCAGGATCACATGGTAGTTCTATTTTCGGTTTTTTGAGGAACCTACATATAGGTTTCCATAATGTCTGTACGGATTTATGCTCCCACCAACAGTGTGCAAGTGTTCCTTTTTCTCCTTATCCTCACCGACACTAGCTCTTGTCTTTTTGATAATAGCTATTCTAACTGATGTGAGGCAATATCTCATTTTGGTTTGAATTTACATTCCCTTGATCATTAGTGAAGTTGAGCACCTTTCGTGTACCTGTTGGCCATTTGTATGTCTTCTTTGGAGAAATGTCTATTCAGTTCCTTTGCCCAATTTTAAATCCAGCAATCCCAATTCTGGGTATCTATCTGAAGGGAATAAAATCAGTATTTCAAAGCAGTATCTACATTCCCATATTCATCGCAACATTATTCATGATAAATAACCAAGACAGGCATTCAGCTCAAGTGTCTGTTGACAGATGATGAATGGATAAAGGGATTGTGGTGTGTATATATAATGGAATATTATTCAGTCATAAAAAAACGAGGAAATCCTGCTATTTGCTACAACATGGATAAACCTGGAGGGCATTTCACTAAGAGAAATAAGCCAGACACAGAAAGACACGTACCACATAATCTCACTTATATGTGAAATATAAACAAGCCAAACTCCCCAGAGCAAGAGTGAAATTAGAATGGTGTTGTCAGGGGCTGGGACAGTGGAGGTACAGAGATGTTGGTCAAAGGGTACAAACTTTTGGTTATAAGATGAATAAATTCCGGGAATCTAATGTACAGCACAATGGCTATGGTTAGCAATTCTGTATCATATACTTGAAATTTGTCAAGAGAATAGATCATAAACATTCTCACCATGAAATGGAACAGGAAACACCCTGTGAGGTGATGGATAGGTTAATTAGCTGGTGTGTGGTAATCATTTCAAAGCGTGTATATATAAATCAAAACACCGCGTTGAACATAGTCAATGTATCTAATGTCTAATTTCTATTTGTTAATTAAAAAAATAAAAGCATAAGATTTTTTTTAAAAAAGGCATTGCAGAAGGGGCTGCCCAGACCACCTCAGCTGGGTCACAGGGACAGCTGGCAGCTCCCAACGCCCGTCTCCCTTCCTCTTTATCAGCCAGTGCACTGTGGAAAGTTCCCGTAGGACTTTATAGTTTTCTGTTAACACAGGTTATTTTAAGAGGACAAGCCCTTTCCTCTGAACACTCTGAAACGCGTGAGCGCAAACAGAACAATCTTTACACAAAGTTGGAGAGAGGTCTCCTCGCACCTTGGAAAAGCTGTTTGGCCTTTTGGTGATTCATGCCGCCCACTGCGCGGGGGGAGGTTATAATAAACAGCACCCGCCTCCAGAGAACCCTGGAAGCCTGGCTGGCTGTGAGACGGTTTCTGTCGCCGCAGCCTGTGTGTACCTTGTGCTGCACGAAAGAGCAGATCTGTAAGTATGAGTCACCCCTGTGCGTGCCCTGATAAAAGTATACACAAACCGTGTTTTCCTAGCGTGGCAATTAACTAATTAATTGAGAGCCAGGGTAAACAGTTGAGTCTAAAGTCTAAACTGCATTAATTACTGTTTATAGAGCTCCATGGAAGCCCAGAGAAAGAGGTGCCATGTCATGTACGTGTGGGATGTTCTTGCGACTGTAGTGGCTATAGGAGCACCCAGGGAGCTCAGAGTCAGGGGCCCTGGGCTTCCGGGTCTGCCAGCCACTCATTTTAAAAGGAGTGACTTCATTTCTCTGTTAATCTAGTCCAATATACAAAATCATTACGATACTTAAGACTCTTTGAAATAGTCAGGGGATAACCAGAAGCCAGAAGTGTATTAGTAAGTCAGCAATGTGGAAATGATGCCCGCGGTATACAGGTAAGGATGGATTTACACAGATACCAGGTGACTCAACATTCAATTCAGGGTTGTCCTTTAAAGTAGTCACTCTGGAAGTCTTTGCCATTCTTCAATTTATTTTTTACTTTTGTTTTATTGACATTAAAATTGTACATATTTATGGGGTACCATTTGGTGTTTCAATACACATGTATGTTGTGTGATGATCAAATCAGGGTACGTAGAGTGCTCATCACCTCATGCATTCATTATTTCTTTTCAGTAAGAACATTCAAAAGCTTCCTTCTAGCTATTTAAAAATATACTCTACCTTACTGTTAACCACCGTCACCTTCCTGTGCAATACCACACCAGAACTTGTTCCTCCTAATTGTAATTTTGTAGCATCTTTCAATTTAATGCAGTACATATTTATTGAACACCAACTGTGCTAGGCACTTAAGAGAATAAAAAGATGAAAAGAAAAACTCATTTGCAGGGAAGCTGCAATCTAGCTGTGGAGCTCAGAAACGAACACAAACAACTAAGACCCCGGAGTAAGTGCTAGAAAGTGCTAGAATCAAATACTCAAAAAAGATACTAAGATTACTGAGGAAGGAGGTTAGTAACTAATTTGGCTGGTTTCATCAGGGAAGGCTTTGTAAAAGATTTGTCCTTTGATAAAAGCTTTGAAGGATGGTTTTGTGTGTGTGTGTGTGTGTGTGTGTGTGTGTGTTTATTTATTTATTTTTTGCCAGGATTGGGGGCAATGGGAGGAGATATAAAATGCAGTCAAGGCAGGGAAAATAGTATGTATCAAAAGGTACATCCAGGACTTCTGGAAAGTTTTTCTTACTTTCCCTCCCTTCCTCCTTTCCTATTCTATTCAAATTTTCCCCACCTTTGAAGTGATGACTGAAATTCCACCACTTCCTTTGGCTGAAGACTGTGTGTTTATTTATGCAGGGTGTAGACAGCAGTAAGGCAAGGCAGAGAGCGCTGGAGCCAGGACTGGAAGTATTAACATGTAGGCAGTTTGGGTGGAAGCTTGCAAGTGTAGGCAGGCAAAAGTTCAAATCTGTGTAATTAATTCATCTTTTTTTTTTTTTTAAATTCAACTGACATGTACTTAGTGTCTGCCATGTTTTCTGCATTGTGCTAGCTCTTGGGGAGTATAAAGAAAAAATAAATAAATAAATGATCCTTTAAGGAGCTTATAGACAGGTAAAATAGGCAGCTATGTATACAAGGAGACTAATAGAGGTGTTACGAGGTGAGAATGACTAATCATAGCAGGAATACGCTGCCAGGGGCTGGGTGGTCCATGGATGTCAGAACAGGCAGGCTGTAGGCTTTGATGGACAACAGGAATGGCTTTGCAGGACAGAGTTGAGTCCTGCAGTCATGTCACAGGTGGCCTTTTCAGCTTGCATGTGTGTACGGTCCTGGCCCATCGCTGTGGGATTATGGGATGAAGGTGTGCTGAGACTCCAGCCAGCACATACGTTTTTGGAAATTTATGTTCAACATACAACATGGATTTTAAAAATTCATGTTCAACATTATTAATGGGAGACAGAAACAAACTGATTATCTCTTAGTAAAACTTTTTTTTACATAGAAGCATATTATTAGTTTACTAATCAGCACTGACCAAAACAGAATCCACGATCTCAAAACAATCGGCGAGACTTTTCTCACTTTGCTAAAATATCTATTCTCAGATTTCCTTGGGTCTAGAGTGCTTCTTGGGAGGCACACTGAATGTCTGAACACGCGGATAATAACACGCATCACTCATTCCCACCCATGCACCGTGCCTAGCTCGGTTGCCGGAGCTCGGGGAACCGCTGAACTTCAGCTGATTGCCTTTGCCCCATTTGCCTCAAAATTCTTAGTAGTCACGGTTGCACAGGAAAAGTCTGTTTTATAATTTTTCTTCCCTAAGGCTCTGTCAAACTTCAATGAAAGAGGATCAACTTATATTTCACCAGCTGTGTAAGAAGCTGTGTATGGAAGCCTGAGTTAACAAGCACCATAATTTAAATTTATCTCAGTGATAGTGGATGCCCTGTTCAGATTTACCTCTGCCCAACCTGCTCACCCTTTAATCTGGCCCTGCCTAAAAATAACTCCTGCCTCTGAAGAAAGCAGAAACAAAGACTCTAGGGCTGTCTGCCCTTTATTCCCCGGGCAAGGGAAGTGGAGCACGTGGAACTAGGTTAGTTACTGAAACCTCAGTGCCTGTGGCCAGTCCCGGTCCTCCCCTCAGAGTGGTTTATAGGGGAAGCTGGAGAAACCCTGAGCATCCTGGTGTCCCTTGGGGAGAGGAGAGGGGATAGGATGGAGGGGGCCGAAACCATGCATCCTGCCCACGCTTGGACCGGAAAGCCAGAGTGCTGGCTCCCCCCTCACTCTCAATTGGATGGAGACTAAAGCTAATAAGGACCTTAGGTACAAAGACTTCTTTCTTTGCAGACAAACACCCCGAACACCTACATATCCAGATAAGTATTGCGTCTTTTAAAAGAGTCACCGCAAAGGAGTTCTCCAGTTAATCGCTAAATGCTGACCTTTTTCCAAACATACTTTAAAACTCCTCTTGTAGAATGGACATTGAAATTTATGGTACTTCTTTCGTCCATCCTTAATGAGGTCAGACTCTGACCCAGGGTTAATGACTCGCAACTGTACTGTGGGTGGTAAACACGGCCGAGCTTATCTAGCCTCGGACACCTGAGCCAGACAGCAGCAGGGGTGAGGTGCTGGCGCAGTGCAGGATGTGCTACCATCAAAGGTTTAAAAGAATTACCACAATGGCATAGAAGGAGCTTGGTAATTCATTCTGGCTGGAGCTGTCAGAGAAGTTTATGAAAGACTTTCCCTTTGAAAAATGCTTTGGATGTTGGTAATTTTCTTTTTCTCTTTCTTTCTCTCTTGTCTCTCTCTTTCTACTCCCTCCCTCCTTTCCTTTCCTTCCTTCCTTCCTTCCTTCCTTCCTTCCTTCCTTCCTTCCTTCCTCCCTCCCTCCCTCTCCCCCTCCTTTCTCCTCCCCGTCCCCTGCCGTCCCTCTACGTCCCTCCTCCTTTCCTCTCCCTCCCTCCCTTCCTCCCTCCCTCCCTCCCTTCCTTCCTTCCTTCCTTCCTTCCTTCCTTCCTTCCTTCCTTCCTTCCTTCCTCTTTTATTCTTGGAGGGAATGGGTTTTGCAAAGCAACAATGAGGTTCTTAGGCACACGGGGCTGAGAAGAAACTAGTTAGAAAGAAAATCAAGAAGGACAAGTGCTTTTTTTTTTTCTTCTTCTCTCAGTGGTGGGAATAAACTTTCCCAAGAATAGCAGGTGACTACCTCAGTACTATGATGTAAATTATTCCTGTAGCTCTAGGGCCATGCACAGGTACCAAAAAAGGCCTAGGAAATTGAGGCTCCGTGTGGCCAGGGGGCTGCTCTTGTAGAGCAGGTTAGTTCCAAGCAGAGCCTGCAGCCCCATGAAGCTCGTTCCTTGTCCCCTCAGAGCCTTATTTGCTTCTTATTTTCAGCATCCCCTCTTTCCAGCTCTCCCTTTTGAGGGATGGGTCTAAGGTTAGAGGTCAGTGGCTGGGCTAAGGAGAGCAAGTTGTCCTTTCTCTTGTTGCAGCAACTTCCAGATTGCTTTTGGTCAGTGCCCTGTCAGCCCAGACAGTCAGCACCTTCTGCCTAGTTTACCACTTTCCACAGGGGAATTCAGAGACCCACGAGTCTAAGGGGTCTTGGCATTTGTGGGGCTGCCTAGAAGCTGTGTTTGGGGAATATCAAGCCCTGTGGACCTGGCTTTTGCAAAGAATAACATAGAAAACTCATCTTTCTCTGCTGCTTTGCAGCTAAGGCACAGGTGTGAGACCCAGGCTTCACCAGTCAGACCCACTTGTGTGAAACTTCCATTTGGACATTAGAGAAAGGATGAACTGTATGGATCCATTTTGCTAGTGCACGTGGAAGCAGAGCCATTCGGCTTTTGAAGGTACGATTATTTGCCAGGCTTGAGCTTTGGGCAGCAGTACTGGTAGGATGGCAACTGTGATTTCCTCTAGTGCTCAGTGGGGCAAGGTCACCGCAGTTTCTTGCAAGCCCGTCCTGCAGCATAATTGTGGACATTGGTCCTGGCAGTTTAGCTCAAAGCAGGTTGTCTGACCCTCCCAGTAGTTTTGTGAGGTGCCCCAAATCCTTTTATTAAACTCCTTTTCTCCTTAATCGATGAGAGTATCTGTTACCTGTAACCGAGAACCCTGTCTGACACACACATGCTGATCCAGGATTAGCATAATGCCTCAATCTAAGAAACAAAAAAGTTGCAGCAATCCCAACAGTATAAATCATTTTAATTCTTTACTGAATTTTCTCACTACATGTCAAAGGAGATTTCATTTATTTTATTCAAGAAAACTTCTAGTAAATTCCTTTCCCCTTTTTTCTCTTTCTATCTCACACAGATGGCAATGCCCATCCAAACCTCTCTGTCCTTTGTCAAATTTCTGCTCCAAACTCTCTCTCTGCCCACATCACAAGAACTCCCCACCATGCTCCAGTCCCACAGCCGGTGTTTCTCCGGGGCTTGGCATTTCCTCTGCAGAGACCCTGCAGACAAAAGACTTGCCTTGGACCCACCGCCCCAGGAGTGCAATGGAGGGTGGAAGGTCTGAAGTAGCTCATCTTGTCCGCTCCCTTCATTTTGAAAAAAGAAACTGCTGGATTGCAAAGTATATAGTCTATCCTGGTCACAAAGTGAATAAATTTCACACTTTCCTATATTTCAAATCCTGCCCTGGCTCACATCATCAGATATCTTTCTCTTTACGAAGGGTTTGCTTTCTTTTCCAAGTATGTGCAGACTATGTTCTGTCTGTCTTTAGGTTCCTACCACCCAGCACGGGGCCTTGCACACAGTAGGTGCTTGCTGCATGTGTGCTGCATGAATGAAGGAATCGAATACACCTGTGCCAGAGGACTTGGCCCTCTGTGGGATTTCGGGGCTCCCTCTGAGGAATGAGCCTGCGGTGCTGCTGACCAAGTGCTTACAAGGCCATGGGCAGTTCCAGGAACTGGCATCAGCAGGTGGATTTAAGTGCCAAAGCTGCCATCGGATCTCCACGACGAGGTCAACAGAGCACCACGGAAGCACTCCAATGGGAGCGCGAGAGTGCTATTCCCCAAAATTAGACATACCTGGTTGGCATTTCTACAGAAGACCTCAACTCACTTGGGAAATGGCTTTGGACATGAGACTTTCCAGAAGGGAAAGCTTTTCCTTGGCAGAGACGTGACTCTAATTGCAGGGACAGCTTGTCACCATTGGTGGTTTTTTTCAGGACTCTGTAGTGGCAGCCAGATGTCCCATCCATAGGTGGATTTTTTTTTCTGGCCTGCTTTTATCAACAGACCTCAGGGCAACCAAGTGTCCAGATGGCCAGATTGCAAGACTTTTTGATGATAATGTCTCCTGGTTGGGACACGACCGAAACACGTTTCTAAATAGGATACAGAGACCCTCAGGAAAAGCTGACCCCAGAGACATGGAACATGTCTCTTGGCTGCCTCCTGGGGCCCGTGTTCTTTTCTGATCCTAACTCCCTTCCTTCGGGAGCGTGACAGAGCCCGTCAGTCACCTTCCCGGTGAGCGGTGTCGGGACCCGGGCTTGCCCACACTATCCCGTTATTCCCGAAACACACACTCAGTTAAGAGTCATCTGAACTCATCCGGAAGAAAGAGGAAACTGTAGTCCTGACGTCCCAGGCTTCCCTGGGGGCACCTGTCCCCGAGCCAGTGCTGACTGAGGCTATGGTGTGATGGGGAAGCTGGTTCTGGTGACAGTCCTGTCACCCCTACGTTTCTTCCAGGGCTGTGACTAAGTCAGCAGCAGCATTAGCTCAACTCTGACCACCGCCAGCTTCCTTACCTCCGAGCCGCGTCCACAGCCCTGAGCAAGCATCACCCCCCCCCAACCCAGTGCAGTGCATGGTGGGTAGTGCTGTCCTGAAGCTGCTGGGCGTGCTCAGGCCATACTTCCAGGGGCAATGGGGAAGTCTCTGATCCCTGCAAGACCTCCCTTTCTCAGAAGCCCTGGGTCTAAAATTCCTTGATCGTAATCCACTCTTTGAATCCCTTCCTGCCCTCTTTCTAGACTAAACACCCATAGGAGGTGCGATCCTAAGAGGTGACTAGTATTTCAGGGTGAACTCATAGCATATTGTCTACTTGGACAGAAAAGATCTAGAGCAACTTTAAATGATGCTTCAAAGCCTTACATATACAAGAAGGGGCCTTCTTCATTTCCTCTCAGAAACAGCCCTTCTTACCCTTGCAATGGCGTTCACTTTTCCAAGTGGCTCAGAATTCACGTGCGAAGGCCATTCCCTGCACAGCTTCTTCCGGTGGTGGCTCCTTGGACAGAAGGGATTGGCTCGTGTTGAAGAGGTCTGCCCTTGGAGATGGTCATTCCCTCAGCAGAGATGGGGTTATGGTCTATATTTTTGTTCCTTTTCTCTTAGATGCCCAGGCTGGTTTTTTTCTAGAGCAGAGGAGGGCAGGGCTCACTACCCACTCCGTCCTCTATGTCTGTGGGTTCTGCATCTCTGGATTCAGCCAACCTAGGATCAAAAACATGTGGGAAAAACAGCTGCATAGATACTGGGCATTCCCAGACTTTCTTTTTTTCCTTGTCCTTATTCCCTAAACAACACAGTATAATAACTATTTACATAGAATTTACAATGTATTAGGTATTATAAGTAATCTAGAGATGATTTAAAGTATCCAGGAGGATGCGTGTAGGTTCTATGCAAATATTAGTACTTCGGCATTTTACATAAGGGAGTTGAGCATCCACAGATTTTGGTCTTTTGCAGGGTCCTGGGACCAGTCCCCAGGGATACCAAGGGTAGACTGTGTGTTCCAACCTTGACCCCTCAACACACCAGCTGTTTCTAGGCCTTTGGCGCTGTCTCACCTCTGTGCCTTTGTTCATTATTCCTGGGCCCCATCACTTCCCCTGTGATGCCTTTAAAGTGACTCACAAAGAAAGTGAGGAATCCGGTGAGTTCCTTAAAATCAGGACCAAATCAGGGCTCTAAAATTATCCATCAAAATTCTGCCAGGCTGCCCTCTCTTGGTCTTAGCTGTTCAACTTCCTCCCTACATGCCTGTCTCCTATGCCTCCTTGGTCCTGACCAGTTCATAATGTGGGACTCAGTCTCATCACGTCACGTTGCTAACCTCTCTCGCTAGCTCTTACTCCCGTGCAGATGTCTGGGGACTGGCGCTGGAGCCCTCTTTGCTTCTCCAGCTGGTTTTGTCTGTCACCAGTGAAGCCTTGTCACCAAACAACAGCACTCCTCATCTTCTGACTTACCATGTTCTTTTGGGCAACTGGTAGACCAACATTCTCTCCTTTTATATCTTAAAATTCTACCCATCTTTCAAAGACCGATGCAACTTCCATGTGTGAATTAAACTCTCTCTTCTCCATATCAGCAGTTTGTTTCTGTTTCTGTTATGCAATTTATCCCTGCCTAAACAGTATAATTGGCTCCATAAAATCCACTCTCGATTTGGGTCTATTTGAGGGAAGACTTTTATTTGCGGGTTTTTTTTTCCCTAGCAGCGTTTACTATGTGTGGAATCAGGAGGCTGCCTGGTAAACTGACCCCTGGGTTAGAGCAGAGGCATCGCCCAGCAGGAGACTGAGAAACACACTCTGATTTTCTCTCTTTTAACCAGTTTCCAGCTTTCTGTGGTGTGGCTGTCTACAGTGAAAAAGCTCTACTTTTAGTGGAATGAGAATGAGAAATACTGAGTTTAAAATCCCAGATCTTGCTGCTCTAATGGCGAGCATGCTTGGGTTTTACCTTTCTCATCTTTAACATAACCTGGAGGAGAGAGAGAGAGAGAGAGAGAGAGAGAGAGAGAGAGAGCGAGAGAGAGAGAGAGAGAGAGAGCGCATGTGTGCTCACTATTTCCCTGTACACAGTGGTATTCTGAGAATCCTTAAATCTTCAGGCCGTGTCACCCTAATGAACGTCATCGTGCAGGGTCACAGACCTGACATGCACACTCCTGCCTTCAGTCAGGACGATATATTCCATGGCAGTTCTCTCTTTGAATGGAAATGAATGTTAATCAATGTAAAGGAAATTATTATCTTGGTTGATTGCATGTTGTCTACCATAGGTCTCTGCAGGCTGAAATCTGCTACAAAGAAAAGTCACTGCTCAGTTGATAATTGCCAGTTTCTACTCACTCCATCCACAGAACAAAACACCGAGTGTTGCCTTTAATATTTATTTTAAACATCTTCCATGCAGGAACTATGTTGGTTTAATATTCAGTTAGTTCCAATAAGGTTGATTAATTGTGTTACAATTAGTGATGAGTTTTTGTCTCTCAGACAGTTGATGGCTCACGAATCTAGAATGCTAGAAAATTTTTTATTATTTTCTATAGTAGATCATGCACCAGTCATCCATAGACCCATGAATAACTTTTGTGAAATATTTCACATCAGTGTGGTCTGTGGAACATGAGCTTCTCACAGTTATTTTCATAGACAAAAAATTCCATGGTCAAATAAGCTTGGGAAATGCTATTTTTTTTTAATGGACTCTACTGTGGTTTAGAAGGGAAATGCTAAATATTGACTTACTCCTGAAAAATCACAAATAAATATTAAATATGTATATTAGATTTATTTTAAAGACCAAACATTCAGGGAAAAACAAACTGAAGTTTATTTTATAGAATGTGGTGTTTTCCAAGCTTGGTTAGATAATGTTTTATCATCCTTGGGAGCTAGTTCCTCTTAGAACATATGTTGGGAACTGTTGCCCCTAGAATATCCTCTTAGAAGTTTGCAGCATTGCACACCTCTCTCTTCAGTAGGCAAGACATGTTTACTACTGCAATGTAGAATAATAGCTCCTGACACATCAGCCTCCCAAGAGCAGACAAATCGATTGGTTCACATTTAGGCTTTTTTTCAACTTCAAAAGGCCCAAGTCATAAGCAGCAGCACTTATTCAATCTGCTTCCAATTTGCACATTCTAAACACAATCTGGCTTTCAGGTAAGGGAATGATAAAAAAATTTTTTTTTCTACAGAAACCTGCCTTTTATAAATGTCTTTAATTTTCTGGCTCTAGATAAATCAGAAGTATCCTGAGAATAATTCTCTTTTGAGTAATTTTTTTTTCCACTCCAGTCTCTAAAAAAAAAAAAAAATCATAAGATTTGACTCCCAAATTGACAGAGAATCAAGTTGGCTAAATTCCACCTATTCAGCCCTAATTTCAACGTGGGAAACAAGAATCTGGGGCAACTGAAGCATGCTGAATCACATCTGGGAATCAGAGAAAGACAGACGAGGTGGGATTGAACTCTGCGATTGGGGAATTGAGGTGGTGGTTCATGAGGTAGGAGATTGGGCATTTTGGTCACTTCCACTGGGGGTGGAACAGGACGGGGGTGTGGGGCAGTGTCACTGGAGCTACTACCTAGGGCCAGCCCTGCTCTACTCAGCAGCACAGTGGGCAAGTGGAAGGAGTTTGTTTTCAGCATGCATTTTCTCCGACAATGTGGAAATTCCTCCCAGGATATCACCCGCCTCCCGCCCCCTCCAACTGCTCATGTCCTCTCTTAACTTCGCTTCTCTCTGTTTAAATCCAAACCAGCTCTCGGAAAAAAAAAGTTCTTTCCAACCAAGGTAGAAGTGACTATGATACAGAGATTATGCTTCCCAGATATCTCTGAACGATCATAAGTGTTAATATAAATTGTCTCTCCTGAACTGTCTTGTCTGGCCCAGGTCTGGCCCCATCTCAGGGGTTTGCAGTGCGAATCCAGCCACCTTCAGATGCCTCTCCCTGCATTTCTGATGACTTTTTAATAAAAACTACCATGTATTTCTTTCTACGTGGCAGGCACCATGTCGAGTGTTTTCTGCTGTTGAATTCCTTCCACGGGCCTATGAGCTTGAGTAGTAGCTCCATTTTGGAAAAGAAAAAAATAAACCCTGAAAGAAGTTAAATAATCTTCTCAAGCACGTGCTTCTGAAGACTCTACACACTTTCTGCCAGAAGCCCGGCCTGGCTGGGAACCGCGGTGCTCGCCCTGCTGCTGGAGTGGCCCGGGAATGAAGGCGGGGCCCTGTCCCCTTCTGCTGCCCGCGCAGGTAAGCCGCCCAGACTCTCTTCTGAATACACAGGATCACTGTCAACCCTTGTCCTCCCGTGTCTGGACCTGGGGTGGGAGAGCCCCGCTTTGCACTCCACCCTGGAGCCCTCTCATGCCTGCTCCCCTGTCCCAGGTTGCTGGTGTTATCTAAGCCGCAAAGGGGTTTGAGTCTAGCTCCGTGTGCTTCTCGCCCAAAATCCAATTATCGACTCAACAAGGGTTGCCAAGGAAGAAAGGAATTTATTTATTTATTTGAGACAGAGTCTCACTCTGTTGCCCAGGCTAGAGTGCCGTGGCGTCAGCCTGACTCACAGCAACCTCAGACTCCTAGGCTCAAGCAATCCTGCTGGCTCAGCCTCCTGAGTGAGT